GATTTACTGGAGATAAGAGTCTGATGGAATTTTCCTGCCTGGGCTGGTTTTGAACCGTGATCCTCTGATCTCAGCCTCCTGAGTAGCTAGGATTACAGGTGTGAGCTACCGGTGCCTGGCTTCACTTCAAGTCTTGATCATTCTATGACAACATTTTAAAACTGCAATTACTCAAGATACTATTTAGTCAGGCCACAAGGGGGAGGGGTGAGGACTTGCAGCAGTCCAAGTGCAGCTCTAATGTACTCACCACCGCCCCGACAGGCATTCCGTAGCTCCTCGAACATCAATTTCTCCAGTGCATCATTCACATAGAAAACTCCTTCAACCTGGTACCAAAGAAAAGGACAGACATCTGGGCATGTGATCATAAAATACAGGTGCCAGGGACAGAATACACTGTATGCAATACTTTGTGTTGTTGCTTTACTTAGTATCAAACTTTTAGATTACCTTCAGCAAGAAGAAAACTTCCTGACAAAGACTGAAAGATGGTTTTGGAGCAAGGGTTGGATGAGAAATGCTTGACCAGTAATATCTATGCAAATATTTCAGAATCAGAAAAACTCAGAAATCTCAAGCACTTCTAGTCCCAAGCATTTCTGAAAAAGGAGACTTGTATTTTGCAATGTTCACAAACTGTTGTTTGAAGATGTGTGCCCTGCTTGAACAACATGCATGTTAAGACGCACTATTTATCAATAAGAAATAATAAGCAAATGAATAAACCACACTGCTACAAAACCAAAGGGAAATGAGAAAGCACTGCTTTATCACTGTGAGCCTTTGCTCTCCTCTGTGATGAGCAAAGTGATATGCTGATAGGGGACATTGAATATTGAGCAAAGAAAAGAATAGCTCATCAGGTACTTCTCTTTTTCCTTCCGTCTTTCTTTCCCTTCTCCTTCCCTCATTCCTTATTTGCTGGTACTGGGGCTTGAACTCAGGCCTCTTGCTTTTTTGCTTAGGCTGGTGCTCTACCATTTAAACCATACCTCCACTTTTAGCTTTTTGTTGGTTAGAAAAAAAAAGTCTCTTGGCTTTGTCTTCTCAGGCAGACTTCAACCCATCATCCTCCAATCTCAGCCTCCTGAGTAGCTAGGATTATAGGCATGGGCCACTCGAACCCACTTCCCTTTAAAAAAAAAAAAAGGAGACTTAAGCCTTGCTGGTCCTTGATGTTATTGGGAACTTTTTTTTTTTCTTTCATAGAGACACAGGACTGCAAACCTTCAGTGAACTTGCAGGGCATCTTAAGTCATCTCAAGAGCTACTTAACACACAGTGGCACCTAAACTTCACAGGGAAGGCTTGAACACAAAGGACAAGCCTGAGATAGTAAGCTCAGGCTTTCAGTCAGTGGTCTTGGCCTTCAAAGATGATGCATTTGTATCATCACAGCAGAGAAGAAAGGCCTGGCCCAGCATCTTCCTAGGTTGTATGGAAATCTGTGTGGCCCAATGATCCTAAGAGTCCTTTCTCCAAGAAACCAAGGTGGGCACCAGAGGCTCACACCTGAAATCCTAGCTACTCCAGGCTGATATCTGAGATTTATAGCCGGCCTAGGCAGAAGAGTCCATGTTAATCAGCAAAAAGCCAGAATTGGAGTTGTGGCTCAAGCCTTGAGCAAAGGAGCTTTGAGCAAGCCTTGAACCAAGCAGCACCCACCACAGACTTTGAGTTCAATCCACAGTACTAGCTGGCATACCCAGGTGTGTACACATACACATACACACTGTCGCCTGTTATTAAAAAGTTTTGGAACGGAGCTGTGGCTCAAAGTGGTAGAGCACTAACATAGCCTTGAGCCAAAGAGCTAGGAATAGCCCCTTCGGCACTGTTTTCAAGCCCCAGGACCGACAAAAACAAGGAATGAAACGAAACCCGTTGGAGCCGGGCGCCAGCGGCTGACGCCGGTAAATCCATGACACTGAGGAGGCTGAGATCTGAGATTCCGGTTCAAAGCCAGATCGGGCGGGTTCAGTCCGTGAGAGTCTTAGGTCCAATTAAGGAATAAAACGCCAAGCTCGGGGACAACGCCCAGGCCCAGAGTTCAGCCTCTAAGAAAGGCACGTAAAAAAAAAAAAAGAAAAGAAAGTGACGGTCTGGGGTGAACACCGGTCTGCAAGCGTCGTACAACGTCTGGCACATGATCAAAACCCACGGAGGCGCAAAGAGGAGCGGAGTTCGGGTGGCAGCAGGTGCGGGGCTGCGGGGCCTGCTGGGCTGCGGGGCCTGCTGGGCTGCGGGGCCGCCCGGCTGCGGGGTGAGTGCGAACGGCCGCCTCCCTCTCCTGGGGATGGAGGGCTGCAGAACCCAGCGGCGGACCGGGAGGGGACGGGACAGGGCGGGGGGTGGG